CTTGTGTTTTTCACTTCCAACAAGAGTTTTTCTTTCGCAGTTCTTGTTCTTAATTTGATTCATGTTTTAACTTAGTCTCGCTCAACATGGGAATTTATTAAGCGCATGCAAATATGGTGGAATTGATTTTATTAATTCAAGTCAACAATAAAATTCCAAAAAATAAAGACAACAAAAAGACAGAAGATATATAGTCAAATGCTAAATTTCACTTCATTTGCATTAGTTAAATTCTTGACACATGACTCTGAGATCTAGTGAGTTTTTGTTGGAGTTTATTTATATCCCATCAACACCAACTTCTTATAAAGCTTTTGACATCAGTTTTTCTGGTTTTCTTCCTTTTAAATGGATTTTACATTTTTACTCCCCACAATTACTTTGTATGTCTAACCTCTAATTCAGACTACATTTTTTCCTTCATGTAATGATATTTTGCCCCAAAACGCTTTGTTTCAAAAATCAGCTTCTGAGTTACTCTTCGTTCTGTATTCGTGTTGTAAATTAAAGCCATTTTGAAGAATGGACTCAGAAGTTTGAGTGCTCAACTACTTTATGAATTAATGGAAAACTGTTTTGATGATATATATTCCATATTCATGCCTCGTCTACATCATTGCATTGTGCAAAAGTGCGCCTTGATTATCTTCTCTATTAAGTGTTGCAACTCATTTCAGTTTGTCTTTTTAGAAAAAAGAGCGATCATGTTTCCCAGATAAAATTATCAGCGTGTTTATATAAACTTGTTCTTTTATCATCTGTATTTTTGTTTTTGTGTTACCTTTGTATCATAGTATTGTATTTATTTACTATAACAACTGGATATTCACAATAGGTAGTTTATTCACCTTGTGTACATGAAGTATTGTATACAGGACCATGTTAAGAACTTGTTTAATGTGTTATTATTTTATTGGTTTGTATATTTGAAATGGATCAATCATAAAGTATCACTGTTGTAAGAAAATTTTGGAAAAGTTGTTAAAAAGATCATTTTTCTTATATATATTCTTAATTTAGAGCAAATTAGTAAGTATTGTTAATATGGCGAATAAACATTTAATAAAGGTCTAACTGGGAGAGACAGGGAAAGGTTGCTGAAATCTATTCTTTCTTCCAGTGAACCTAGATTTCTAAGCTTCAGCTACTGTTGCAGATTGATTTACAATTGCAGTAACTGATGAAAAGTTTCCACGTCCACGAGCGTCGGGTCGGTGAATTTTGATAATTACTTTTGGATCCATCATAATTACGTTCTTAATTTGTTTTTGAACAATTATGAAACTTATTTAAGATATTATAATAAAAGTATCAATGATAAAAAATAAATTTATTTAATTAAACATAGGCACTGTGACTTCATAGAAGGCCTGAATAAATACATTGAAACGTATTTATTTGTTAGCACATAGCAAAATTGCTCATAATAGGTAAAATAAAAACTTATCTTTTAATAAATTAAAAGTTTACATAAAATTTTAAAGAATAAAGTTCACAAAAATCTTCTGTTAACTTAAACATTAGTTATAAGTTTGTAGAGACTTTTTATTATGGTATTTGTATAAGGGCGCGTTGGAGAAAAATGCAGACTTCTAGTTTTATTACGAAATGTTGAACAATTTATAAAATATAAACTATATTTGAGACCTTTTTTACAAGAACAAAAGATGCTAAATTTTAGTATCTTTTACAAAGAAGGGTGACCCTTTTTAATTCTTGAGTTTTCCTCCCTCAAATGCAGGTTAATTAAATCAAGAGCTGATATGAACACGTTTTCACATGTTCCTCCCGGATTTCGTTTCCATCCCACTGATGAAGAACTTGTTCATCACTACCTTAAGAAAAAAGTAGCTTCTAAAAGGATTGACCCAGAAGTGATAAAAGACATTGATCTCTATAAAATCGAGCCATGGGATCTTCAAGGTATGTGATAAACCTTCTCATTCGACTTCAATTAGTATATAAACTACGCAGTGATAACTTGTATTTATCTGTTTGATAGAATTATGCAAAACTGGAAATGATGAACAAGATGAATGGTACTTCTTTAATCATAAGGACAAGAAGTATCCAACAGGAATTCGTACCAATAGAGCTACAAAAGCAGGATTCTGGAAAGCTACAGGGAGAGACAAGGCAATTTACTGTAAGCATTGTCTTACTGGAATGAGAAAGACTCTTGTGTTTTACAAAGGAAGAGCACCCAATGGACAAAAATCTGACTGGATCATGCATGAGTATCGGCTACAAACCATTGAAAATGGAACTCCTCAGGTAATTAATCAATTACTTCTTTCTTACTATAATTTCCCTTCTTTATTTATAACGATTTCTCTCTTCATCTCTGATTAAAAATGACATTGAAATGAAATAACCAGATTGTTTAGTGTTCTTAATTTCTGTAAGTGGTTTCCAGGAAGAAGGGTGGGTTGTATGTAGAGTGTTCAAAAAACGAATGACAACAGTGAGGAAAATGGGTGATTACGTGTCGCCATGTTGGTATGATGACCAAGTCTCGTTCATGCAAGAACTGGAATCTCCGATTCCAATTTCTAACCCTAATGCACCAAATCGTCACCCCTACCCCAGCAAGGAGTTGGAATTGCAATTCAATATTCCCCATGACGCTTTCCTCCAACTTCCACAACTTCAAAGTCCCGTGATTCTTCAATCTGCGGCTAGTTTGAGTTTTAGCCCAGTTGTCTCTTACGGCTATGGTAGCAAGAACAATGGAAACGCTTTGCAGTCATCATCTCTCACTCAAGAACATCGACAGTTTCATTATGCTAGTAATGATCAATCTATGGATTGGCGAGTACTTGACCAGTTTGTGGGTAATGAGCTGAGTCACGATGAACATTTTTCCAATGTGGTTCACCAGATGAAGTTGCCGGCAGACGGATCTACAAAACCAGAAACCGGTCAGGAAAGTGCTTCAACTTCCATCTCCGGTTCCCAGATTGACCTCTGGAAATGAAAATTTACAGCTAGAAGAGGCACACCACTTATACAGTTTAATTAGCACTCTTGATAATGACAAAACAAAAATTCTGTACATAACAAACCCTAAAATATTCTTAGCAGTTGAAATATGCATGGTGATAACAGTGTGTCAACTAATAATCCGGACTTGTATGATGCAAGAAAAACCTAGAGCATATGTTGGAGTTTAACAGTGCAAGATTTGATGTAATGAGGTCAGTGAATGTTAGAGATTTAATCATTAATTGAATTTGCATGTAATACAAATATATTAAGGTTATGTATACTGACAGGAACATGATGATTGTATTTTAAACCCATTCGTTGATTCTGTCTATAGCAGCTAGGAAGGGTAATATGAATTTGAAATTGCTTAAGAATCTAAGCATATTGAACAACAGAATATTTGTACAATTTTTCTCTCCACTATTTATTAGTCATGATTTTGTATTTTTACTGTACATTGAATATGTAATGTAACATCTTCCTCTTTCTCTTCCATGCAAGTGTATAAAGGGAGGTTGAAAATCTAAATTTAAGAGGCCATTTGCTTTAAAACATTATAATGAATTTTTTAGACTTAAAATAAAGTAAAAATTATGTAATGTATTTATAAAATGAAAAGCATAATAACAAAATAAATAATGCTAAATTAGGCATTATCACCATTTACTTGAAAATGCATTACATAAAAAATTAACGCAATTTTCACACTCTCATCTCATTATATATGGTAATTTTATTAACTTTTGTAATAATTAAATTGAAAATTACATTAGTAATGCTTTTTTATACATTGATATAACTTTTTAACATCTACTTTACGTACAAATTAAATTCTACATGTTAGATGCGTTTTCTTTCAACAGGGTTGGCAAGGAAAATGCTCCTCCTTTAAAAACAAAATTCGGAAAAAGGTGACATTGAGATAAACAGGATAGAGAGGGAAAGTGAAAAATAGAGATATAGGGAGAAATAGGCGCAAAGAAAGAAAGAACAGATAGAAACATTTCTTATTTAGAGTAGAGAAAATCAGTGATAAAATATTCTGCACATATATATAAGCTACAACAGAAGCCCGTGATGATGAATGTACATGTTGTTTAAACGCACACAAATCACGAGAACATTTTCGAATTCCAAAACATAAAATATATAGAAATATATACCCGTTTTTTTATTTCCCTATTCAGTAGGAAATGACCTACAGCAAATAATGCCTAGTGTTTTACACAGATGGATTCATATTCGATGAATATAAAGTCTACCTCATATATACCGAAGAGTGTTATTTAGTACGGTCATGCATGAGAGATGCTTTTTCTTATCAAAGTAATTCAATAATTAAGAAAGTTCAAAGTTGGCACATTATTCAGAACGCGTACCTGTGCGTGAAACTTGGCTTCTCTTAGTGAAAGATTANCATTTAATAAAGGTCTAACTGGGAGAGACAGGGAAAGGTTGCTGAAATCTATTCTTTCTTCCAGTGAACCTAGATTTCTAAGCTTCAGCTACTGTTGCAGATTGATTTACAATTGCAGTAACTGATGAAAAGTTTCCACGTCCACGAGCGTCGGGTCGGTGAATTTTGATAATTACTTTTGGATCCATCATAATTACGTTCTTAATTTGTTTTTGAACAATTATGAAACTTATTTAAGATATTATAATAAAAGTATCAATGATAAAAAATAAATTTATTTAATTAAACATAGGCACTGTGACTTCATAGAAGGCCTGAATAAATACATTGAAACGTATTTATTTGTTAGCACATAGCAAAATTGCTCATAATAGGTAAAATAAAAACTTATCTTTTAATAAATTAAAAGTTTACATAAAATTTTAAAGAATAAAGTTCACAAAAATCTTCTGTTAACTTAAACATTAGTTATAAGTTTGTAGAGACTTTTTATTATGGTATTTGTATAAGGGCGCGTTGGAGAAAAATGCAGACTTCTAGTTTTATTACGAAATGTTGAACAATTTATAAAATATAAACTATATTTGAGACCTTTTTTACAAGAACAAAAGATGCTAAATTTTAGTATCTTTTACAAAGAAGGGTGACCCTTTTTAATTCTTGAGTTTTCCTCCCTCAAATGCAGGTTAATTAAATCAAGAGCTGATATGAACACGTTTTCACATGTTCCTCCCGGATTTCGTTTCCATCCCACTGATGAAGAGCTTGTTCATCACTACCTTAAGAAAAAAGTAGCTTCTAAAAGGATTGACCCAGAAGTGATAAAAGACATTGATCTCTATAAAATCGAGCCATGGGATCTTCAAGGTATGTGATAAACCTTCTCATTCGACTTCAATTAGTATATAAACTACGCAGTGATAACTTGTATTTATCTGTTTGATAGAATTATGCAAAACTGGAAATGATGAACAAGATGAATGGTACTTCTTTAATCATAAGGACAAGAAGTATCCAACAGGAATTCGTATCAATAGAGCTACAAAAGTAGGATTCTGGAAAGCTACAGGGAGAGACAAGGCAATTTACTGTAAGCATTGTCTTACTGGAATGAGAAAGACTCTTGTGTTTTACAAAGGAAGAGCACCCAATGGACAAAAATCTGACTGGATCATGCATGAGTATCGGCTACAAACTATTGAAAATGGAACTCCTCAGGTAATTAATCAATTACTTCTTTCTTACTATAATTTTGCCTTCTTTATTTATAACGATTTCTCTCTTCATCTCTGATTAAAAATGACATTGAAATGAAATAACCAGATTGTTTAGTGTTCTTAATTTCTGTAAGTGGTTTCCAGGAAGAAGGGTGGGTTGTATGTAGAGTGTTCAAAAAACGAATGACAACAGTGAGGAAAATGGGTGATTACGTGTCGCCATGTTGGTATGATGACCAAGTCTCGTTCATGCAAGAACTGGAATCTCCAATTCCAATTTCTAACCCTAATGCACCAAATCGTCACCCCTACCCCAGCAAGGAGTTGGAATTGCAATTCAATATTCCCCATGACGCTTTCCTCCAACTTCCACAACTTCAAAGTCCCGTGATTCTTCAATCTACGGCTAGTTTGAGTTTTAGCCCAGTTGTCTCTTACGGCTATGGTAGCAAGAACAATGGAAACGCTTTGCAGTCATCATCTCTCACTCAAGAACATCGACAGTTTCATTATGCTAGTAATGATCAATCTATGGATTGGCGAGTACTTGACCAGTTTGTGGGTAATGAGCTGAGTCACGATGAACATTTTTCCAATGTGGTTCACCAGATGAAGTTGCCGGCAGACGGATCTACAAAACCAGAAACCGGTCAGGAAAGTGCTTCAACTTCCATCTCCGGTTCCCAGATTGACCTCTGGAAATGAAAATTTACAGCTAGAAGAGGCACACCACTTATACAGTTTAATTAGCACTCTAGATAATGACAAAACAAAAATTCTGTACATAACAAACCCTAAAATATTCTTAGCAGTTGAAATATGCATGGTGATAACAGTGTGTCAACTAATAATCCGGACTTGTATGATGCAAGAAAAACCTAGAGCATATGTTGGAGTTTAACAGTGCAAGATTTGATGTAATGAGGTCAGTGAATGTTAGAGATTTAATCATTAATTGAATTTGCATGTAATACAAATATATTAAGGTTATGTATACTGACAGGAACATGATGATTGTATTTTAAACCCATTCGTTGATTCTGTCTATAGCAGCTAGGAAGGGTAATATGAATTTGAAATTGCTTAAGAATCTAAGCATATTGAACAACAGAATATTTGTACAATTTTTCTCTCCACTATTTATTAGTCATGATTTTGTATTTTTACTGTACATTGAATATGTAATGTAACATCTTCCTCTTTCTCTTCCATGCAAGTGTATAAAGGGAGGTTGAAAATCTAAATTTAAGAGGCCATTTGCTTTAAAACATTATAATGAATTTTTTAGACTTAAAATAAAGTAAAAATTATGTAATGTATTTATAAAATGAAAAGCATAATAACAAAATAAATAATGCTAAATTAGGCATTATCACCATTTACTTGAAAATGCATTACATAAAAAATTAACGCAATTTTCACACTCTCATCTCATTATATATGGTAATTTTATTAACTTTTGTAATAATTAAATTGAAAATTACATTAGTAATGCTTTTTTATACATTGATATAACTTTTTAACATCTACTTTACGTACAAATTAAATTCTACATGTTAGATGCGTTTTCTTTCAACAGGGTTGGCAAGGAAAATGCTCCTCCTTTAAAAACAAAATTCGGAAAAAGGTGACATTGAGATAAACAGGATAGAGAGGGAAAGTGAAAAATAGAGATATAGGGAGAAATAGGAGCAAAGAAAGAAAGAACAGATAGAAACATTTCTTATTTAGAGTAGAGAAAATCAGTGATAAAATATTCTGCACATATATATAAGCTACAACAGAAGCCCGTGATGATGAATGTACATGTTGTTTAAACGCACACAAATCACAAGAACATTTTCGAATTCCAAAACATAAAATATATAGAAATATATACCCGTTTTTTTATTTCCCTATTCAGTAGGAAAAGACCTACAGCAAATAATGCCTAGTGTTTTACACAGATGGATTCATATTCGATGAATATAAAGTCTACCTCATATATACCGAAGAGTGTTATTTAGTACGGTCATGCATGAGAGATGCTTTTTCTTATCAAAGTAATTCAATAATTAAGAAAGTTCAAAGTTGGCACATTATTCAGAACGCGTACCTGTGCGTGAAACTTGGCTTCTCTTAGTGAAAGATTTCTATATTTAGCAGAGACGTTTTCTGGTGGTTCACCAGTTGATGGGGCTACCTAAGAGGGTCTAGGCAGAACCGTGCGTTCGAAAGGGCAAACAAACCGAAGTGTGCTTTCAAAAGTAAATGGCTTATATGAAGGAAATTAATTTAAAGCACGTAATCATGCATGGTTTTCAAAGACAAGAAGTAGTAGTTATTTGTGAAGGTGTGATTGGATATTGACGAAGGATGAAATTCATGTGTCTGAGTGAAGAGTTAAAATTCCTTTGAAGCAATGGCACGACACAATGATTAGGCGTGCGCCCGTCAAGTTAATCATAATGCAGGTTTTAACTGTAGTCTGTGTCATGAATGTTTACTTGCACAAAAAGAGAGGAATGAAGAGGTAGGCATGCTTGGCTGGAGGATAAGAAAGAAAAAGGGTGTATGAAAAAGTGTGTTTTTCTGACATCCTTTGACTTGGTACAATTCTCTGTCACACTAGAGAAGATGAAATCAATTGACTAGCATACCTATGCAAAGCCAAAACAAGGAGTGGCCATGTGCACTTAGGCGGCGTGTGATAGTGAGAGTATATATGATAATTTTGGTTTATGTAAGATTTCTTTGTGACAGACCACTGTATGTGAATATATGGGAGGAGATAATAAAACTCCAAGTCAAGATAACGACACTATCATCGCACATGAGCTTCATTTTAGTTCTATCGTAAATTGGTGAAAGATAAAATGGAAGAACCAAAAATACAGAACAAAATGACTGATACAATAACAAAATAGAGAAAAAAATGAAGTATCATATACAAATGCTATATCTATCTATCTATCTAATCTATTGGATTTATGGCCTATAAGGGTTATAGGAGCCTTGAAGTCATTTACATAATTGTAACATTAAAAGAAAAAAAGAAATTGTTTTTTGCTAAAGTATTACAAAGTTGCTTTCTCCCTGAGTTGACCTTGCCTTCTAAGGAAGCTCTTAGTATCATTGCAGAAGGAAAGGAAGCAGTACGTCAGCTCTGTGCATATCTTTTTAATGTTTTTTTTTTATATCTTCTTAAAAATAGTTTCTTTCTTTTTGTCTGTCTTTCCTTCTCAATACTAAACAATTTTATCACGTATTACATGAGTATAAATTCAGTAAACATTTTGTAATTCAAAAAAAATGTAAGTTGAATTGGGATATGGATTTATCAAGTAGTTCCTAGTTAATTTTTTTAATTATAATGTCTAAAAGGGAAATTAAATTTAAAATATAAAAAAAATTACTTGTAATTTTTTTTAATTTCTTATGAGAATATAATTCACAATAATCACAGGTACTCATTAATTTAGTTTATATTAATTCATTGATTTGGTTATTTTTCATGAAACTCAAACCTAACAGACTGAAATTTTCCCTTTTATGAATTTATTTATTTTTAACTTAAACAAATCCGACCACTAATTAGCTAAATATTATTTTTAAATATTTCCTTTCGCGTGCAATTTTATTAAATGCTTTGATTACCTTTTAATATCCATCTTCTTTATCGTATTTTAGATAAACAAATTAATGTAATATGCAAAGTTATAATTATGAAAAAAATTATACAAATCAATTAAAAGTGCATGTGCAAAGGATAAACTTAAACAAGAAATGGGACTTACAAGGTTCATTATGTGCAAAGGACGAAACATAATCTTATATCCAGCAGATCTTACATAGGAGAAAGATGACTGCCAAAATAGGTTCTGGCTTGTTAAACAGAGGCCAACAATACCCAACATAGATTCAAGAAGTGGCATCATTTTCATGAATGCGGATATGCTCTCAGAAGTCCAAAAGACAAACAGACCTCAATTATAGTCTCTGATATATTTACACGACTATGGCTTGTAGCAAAGATTACTCCGAGTAACTACTTTACATCGCAAAGTCCTGTTGCTTCATCACAGAAACCATCTCGGTCAAGCAGTTTCTGTGGTGGAGCACTTAAAAGGGGAGATGATGGGGAGCCATAAGCATTTCGTCGTTTGTTTCCACAACCTAAGCTTACTCTTGTGCTCACTCCTGTAACAGGATTTGTGCCACTGGCATACTTGCATAAAGCCTAAGCAATTTAATCAAACAGTATACGTCATATCAGTGTCACCTTAGGTAAAAATTATGCTCTGACAAAGCATTTCAATCACAACGGTAGATATTCCAAGCAAGGATGGGTCATGGATCCTGATAATGGGAGAGAGACAACTCAAACAGCAACATAAAGACACTAAAAAGGCCATATGAACAGAAGGATCTGTCGAAAAATTTACAACCTTATTTATCATTTGGTATTTTATCTATCCTTTTACAAAGATCCTATTATTTGAAAGGGTATAGCAAAAGAATTGATAAAAAAAGATCTTGTTTTTATTATAAGGTCACGATTGAGTCTGTGTCAGAATATTTTTGTCAATTGAGAACAATAAAAAGGGAAAGCGATCATGGAAGATGAAAACATGCGGGGATTGACCTTGGTTTGTCTTTGGAATGGAAGGGGAGGAGGGGATTGGAAATTCTTGAATTTGAGAGAATTAAATCATCCCCCAATTCAGATTAGAGGATCCATCCCTTTAATAGGACATCAATGGTCATACCTGCTTTTGGGTAAGGTCCAACACAGCATCACTAAAGTCAGCACCTTCGATGATGGCACCCCCAAGGTCACTCCGTGTGAGGACTGTTCTAAGGAGAATGGCATTAGTGAGATTGGCTTCGTTTAAAACCTGTAAATCAGAGGTAAGAAAATCATATATAAACCAAATTAAAAGGAAAAAATAATATCAAACATATTGATAAAATTAATCATCTTGATGCAGTTACCATGCGATCCATCAATGTATCACTTAAATCGGCCCCTGTGAAAAACATTTAAAAATTAGAGTCAGTCAAAAATTATACACAAGAAGCACAGGAAATTTTCTGCAAAGAAAATGAAGAGATACATGAGAATGATAAAGTAAAAGGTATACATGAGCACAAGAAATGTATGAAGTGAAGGAAACAAATGTGAAAATGTTTTAAAATTTCTTGTACATCAATCTTTGAATAAAGAAAATAAACGAGTTCTTTATGTCTTCTGCCGGAATTTATGGTTATATTTTTTAACTGAGTAAACACTCTTTTGGATGTGCAAGCATACAGGGCTTAACCATGACTTTGAACGGAAATCAGCCTTGGGTCCAATAGAATCTATTATGTAAAGGAATCAGATAATTTGAGCAAACAGTGGGTCTAACGGAGTCTATTAGTTGAAGTATCAGACTTTTTTATTTATCTCAACAGAGATAACTTAGAATTGCATTCAAAACATGCTGTGAAGAATTTATATTGCAATAAGCGTATACCTGAAAAATTTGCCTTGTATGCAACAGCTTTCTCAAGGTATGCACCATTGAAAGTTGAACCGCTAAAATCAGATTCTCTCATATCAGCAGCTGTGAAATTGGCTCTTCTGTATCAGTCATTCAGAATCATTATGAATAGAGGACTCCAAATTTATACATTATTAGATTCCATAAATTTCTATGAAGTGACAACTCAAATTAATTGAAGTAACACTTTTCTACTATGTTTAATCGCTAGTGTGTGTGTGTGCATAAAATAGTGAACTTCATAAAATTGCTAATGTTAATTCGAAATAAACATTGTAGCTATTTTCCCACTCGCCAGATCAGTACTTCTATATGGAAGCAATGCCTCCAGTAAAACATCAGCCCGAGGAACCAATGGCGCTGAAAAAAGCATAACAAAACCGACTAATCTTCGGTTTGGAGTGTCCACATCAGTAGAGTTTCTTTGTGTTTATTGACAACGTTGCATTAGATAAAGGAAAACTAAAGAGGTCGCGCTAACTCAAACATTCTGCATGTTATACGTAAAATTGAAACAACAAAAAATAACATTGGCCAAAGGAATAAGTAAAGATGAATGTCTACCACACCAAATATAACTGGAAAAAAGAAATCCTATTGACTCTCCATTCTATTTTCCACCTTTTCCCTTTTTTTATCTTTTATGATTACAAATTTGATAAAGCTAATGTAGGAAGGATAACAATAAAATTGCATCATGTTCATTTCTAATTTCTTTATTACGCATAGCCGATTGA